AACCTCTCGCTCAGGGAGGTTTCCTTCTACCTCTCCCTTTGACCTCAGTGAAACCTCGCTCGTTTTCCTTCTACCTCTCCCTTTGACCTCAGTGAAACCTCCGCTCAGGAGGTTTCCTTCTACCTCTCCTTTGACCTCAGTGAAACCTCTCGCTCAGGGAGGTTTCCTTCTACTCTTCCCTTTGACCTCAGTGAAACCTTTTCGCTCAGGGAGGTTTCCTTTCTACCTCTCCCTTTGGACCTCAGTTGAAACCTCTCGCTCAGGGAGGTTTCCTTTCTACCCTCTCCCTTTGACCTCAGTGAAACCTTTTCGCTCAGGGAGGTTTCCTTCTACCTCTCGCCTTGACCTCAGTGGAAACCTCTCGCTTCAGGGAGGTTTCCTTCTACCTCTCCCTTTTGACCTCAGTGAAACCTCTCGCTAAGGGAGGTTTCCTTTCTACCTCTACCCTTTGACCTCAGTGAAACCTTTCGCTCAGGAGGTTTCCTTCTACCTCTCCCTTTGACCTCAGTGAAACTCTCGCTCAGGGAGGTTTCTCCCTTTGACCTCAGTGAAACCTCTCGCTCAGGGAGGTTTCCTTCTACCTTCTCCCTTTGACTCAGTTGAAACCTCTTCGCTCAGGGAGGTTTCCTTCTACCTCTCCCTTTGACCTCAGTGAAACCTCTCGCTCAGGGAGGTTTCCTTCTACCTCTCCCTTTGACCTCACTGAAACCTCTCGCTCAGGTGAGGTTTCCTTCTACCTCTCCCTTTGACCTCAGTGAAACCTCTCGCTCAGGGAGGTTTCCTTCTACCTCTTCCCTTTGACCTCAGTGAAACCTCTCGCTCAGGGAAGGTTTCCTTTACCTTTCCCTTTGCCTCACTGAAACCTCTCGCTCAGGGAGCTTTGACCTCACTGAAAACCTCTCGCTCAGGGAGGTTTCCTTTCTACCTCTCCCTTTGACCTCAGTGAAACCTCTCGCTCAGGGAAGGTTTCCTTCTACCTCTCCCTTTGACTCAGTGAAACCTCTCGCTCAGGGAGGTTTCCTTCCCTCTCCCTTTGACTCACTGAACCTCTCGCTCAGGGAGGACCTCACTGAAACCTTCGCTCAGGGACCTTCTACCTCTCCCTTTGACCTCACTGAAACCTCTCGCTCAGGGAGGTTTCCTTCTACCTCTCCCTTTGACCTCACTGAAAACCTCTCGCTCAGGGAGGTTTCCTTCTACCTCTCCCTTTGATCTCAGTGAAACCTCTCGCTCAGGGAGGTTTCCTTCTACCTCTCCCTTTGACCTCAGGTCGCTGGAAACCTCTCGCTCAGGGAGGTTTCCTTCTACCTCTCCCTTGACCTCAGTGAACCTCTCGCCTCAGGGAGGTTTTCCTTCTACCTCTCCCTCTTGACCTCAGTGAAACCTCTCGCTCAGGGAGGTTTCCTTCTACCTCTCTCCCTTTTGACCTCAGTGAACCTCTCGCTCAGGGAGGTTCCTTCTACCTCTCCCTTTGACCTCAGTGGAGGCTTTGACCTCAACCTCTCGCTCAGGGAGGTTTCCTTCTACCTCTCCCTTTGACCTCAGTGAAACCTCTCGCTCAGGGAGGTTTCCTTCTACCTCTCCCTTTGACCTCAGTGAAACCTTTTCGCTCAGGGAGGTTTCCTTCTACCTCTCTCCTTTGACCTCAGTGAAACCTTCTCGCTCAGGGAGGTTTCCTTCTACCTCTCCCTTTGACCTCAGTGTTTCGCTGACCTCTCCCTTTGAACCAGTGAAACCTCTCGCTCAGGGAGGTTTCCTTTCTACCTCTCCCTTTGACCTCAGTGAAACCTCTCGCTCAGGGAGGTTTCCTTCTACCTCTCCCTTTGACCTCAGTGAAACCTCTCGCTCAGGGAGGTTTCCTTCTACCTCTCTCCTTTGACCTCAGTGAAACCTCTCGCTCAGGGAGGTTTCNTCACCAACCCTACAGGACCCTCCACACCTCCACCCCCCCTCGACCCTCAGCGCCCCTAACCCTCTCCCCCCCTTCATCCTCAACCCCCCTAACCTCTCCCAACCCTATCACCCTCTCCACCCCCCTCACCGAACACCCTAGCCTCTCCCCCTTCATTCCTCACCCCCCTAACTGCTCCCACCCTACACCTCCCAACCTCCACCCCCCCCCTCAACCCCCTCACCCCTCTCCCCCCTTCATCCTCACCCCCCCTAACGTCTCCCCCAACCCAACCCTCCAACCTCCCCCCCCTCACCCCTCAACCCCCTAACCCTCTCCCCCCCTTCATCCTCAACCCCCCTAACTCTCCCAATCCTACACCTCCAACTCCACCCCCTCACCCTCAACCCCCTCCCCCTTCTCCCCCCCCTTTCATCCTCAAACCCCAGCCCTTTTCCCCGAACTTCTTCCCCGCCTCTCTCCTCCCCCCCCCCACCCTTCATCCCCCCTTTACCCCCCCCCTCTTGACGATACCCTCGGAAAATTTTAGTGTTCTGAAGATCAGCGAAAATTATCTGTTGTGTTCCTATAGCACTATTATGGCCCGCTCTTTCTCCGTTGGGAATTTTATCTCTTCTAAATTCTTTTTTTTTTCTTCTTCTTTTCTTCTTTCTTTTTTGGGGTGTCTATTATTTGTCCTTTATTTCCCCTTTTTTCATTTTTTGTCTTTCGTTTTTTTTTTTTTTTTTTTTGTCTCGTTCTTTCTTCTTTTATTTGGTTACTGTCTTTGTTTTATAAATAAAATAGATAAATAGATAGTCTCTCTCTCTCTCTCTCTTTCCTCTTCTCTCTTCTCTCTCTCTCGCTCTCTCTCTCTCTCTTCTCTCTCTCTCTCTCTCTCTCTGTCTCTTCTCTCTCTCTGTGTGTGTGTGTGTGTGTGTGTGTGTGTGTGTGTGTGTGTGTGCACGAACGATATACACACATGTATATAGTCATGTATAAGTGCGTGTGTTTATACAAACCTGCATACATAAAAAGAAACACCCCTACATACAAACACACACATAATTGCACGTGAGCGCTTGCACCCACTCAAGGAAGCGCAGTAAAGATGGATAAATTCAGAAACCCAACTCGGTAAAAATAAATAAAAATAAATAAATAAATAAAAATAAATAAATAATAATAATAATAATAATAATAATAATAATTGAGAACGATGCCACTCGACCACTCACAGAGAAGGTACTACGAGCCGCAACATGTTCGTGACATGATCTCAGTTTCCGTTGTCTCTGGCGTATCTGGGCGGGCATGTGGGCTGATGGTGGAGTGAGGGTGGGCGAAAGGTGGGCGGGGATGGTGGGCAGAGGTGTGGGGTATAGGTGGGGACAGGTGTGGGGGTAAAGTGGGCGAAAGTGGGCGGGTGATGGTGGGCTGATGGTGCAGTGGGGTGGGCTGGGATGGTGAGTAGAAGTGGGTGGTAAGGTGGGCACAGGTGGGGGGGGGTATAGGTTGGCGAAGGGTGGGCAGAGGTGGGCGGTGATGGTGGGCTGATGGTGCAGTGAGGTGGGCGTTGATGGTGGGCAAAGGTGGGGGGGTATAGGTGGGCACAGGTGAGGGGGAGGGGATATCAGGCGGAGGGTGGGCGTGAAGGTGGGGTAAGCTGGGCTGACGGTAAGGTGGGTAGAGGTGGCGGTGATAGTGGGCTGATGGTGCAGTGAGGTGGGCGGGGATGGTGGAGTGAGGTGTGGGGTGAAGTGGGCGAAAGGTGGGCGGGGATGGCGGACGGAGGACGAGTGTGAATGTGGGCGGGGATGTGACGATCACGGTTGATGGTGGGCCGAGGGTGGGCGTGGAGGTGAAAGTAGAGAATGAATAGAAAGGAAAAGGTGTTGACAGATTCTTATTAACAACACTTATTTCGCTATTGTTGTTGTTATTGGTAACAGTACCATTATACTTCTAAAGGTTCTTCTCACTATTATGATCTTCATCATTATCATAATTGTATTATTGTTGATGAGAATGATAATTGCATTGGTGATAATGACAACAATTATGATAATAAAAAAGGAATTATCTTGGTAATAAACGATTAAGATTCACAAGAACAATAATGGCGATAACATTAATAAAGATAATGATAATAATGCTAGTACTAATAATGTTATTCGTGATTATGCTAATAGTGATTACAAGCTAATATTAATCATATCAAAGCTGAAAACGATAATTCAATGGTGATGATGACGACGGTAATAAAAATAATGGTGATGATAAGTAATTATAATGATTATAAGTAATAATGATAATTTTAATAATGAAAAATGATAATTATAATACTGACAACAACAGTTGTAATGAAGAAAAAATAACATCATCATTAGATATATAATAATTTAAGGGTCTTTTTTTTAAGGTATTAGTATTGCCGCTTTTAATCTTATCATGATTTTCAGCAATAGAAGTGTTGTGATGTGGATGCAACCTCCATGTCAAACAGCAGCTGATTCCTCCTTCAGCTTGGCCACTTCCAATAAACATAAATAGTTACTTGAATATGCCAATATGCTCTACCTGTATGTTCTATTGTGACCTGTTCTTTCTTGTTTAGTTTTCATTATTTTAGTCGATTTGTTTATCTTGTTTATGCCTTTATATATCTATTAATTTTACTTATTCTCATCATTATTATCTTTAAGAGGTCGCGTCCTCTTGCCATAAATTTAGACCTCCCTTCCCAATATGTCTGTGTTAATGGGTTATATCCACTGCACATTATAAAATTCTTCATTTAAAGTACCAACATATTATTAGACTTATGAATTAGCAAGCACCTCGGTTACTTGCTTTAAGTCAGTGAATATCGTTTTGTTGAATTCCGTCAGCTTACTAAGATAGACTTTAATATATGGTATGTAGGCGTGGATATTGTGCCTATATCCAAGTCAAATTGTGGAATAGGACTCTTCGCCTTTACGAGATAACGCCATAGAGACGATAATAAGATATGAAACTGCAGTAACTACCAAATAGATGGTTTAGGTTAGATAATGGCAGGTTTGTATACTCTTTAAATGCTCTACGTTAGACAAACCGCATTCATGTTGACAAATGTAAAAAAGTATGAATGAGAATGAATATCTTCACAAGAGATTATTTGGCCGGTTTCGAATATGTCTTCGTCAGAAAAACATGACGAAAGTATTTATTCGAAACCGATCAAGTACATCTCTTGCATTGTGAAGATATTCATTCTCATTCATACCTTTCTACGTTAGATTTTTTTCATTTCATGTTATCATGGCTTTCACGTGTTGGCTTCATGAGGCAACATTCAGAATTCCTCATGAATGTGGTGTCCATTTTCTGTGCAAATCTTATACATTTTTCAAGTAGGAAAACCTCCGCAGATTCCTTCCCTGATGCCCATCTTGGGGACCCACTGGTATAACTGGGGTGTTGTGTGGGGGTGAAAGGGAGAGTAAATGTATTAAATGCAATATAAATCTGCCTTAATATAGAATAATTAAACTATATGATTGTCTTAAAGACCTGTTCGCATACCAAGGTCTATATAGGCCTTGATCTCGACTATCACAGAACCGCAACAAAGGTCGACAAACATTCTCTGTCCAATATAGGAAAATTTTACCTTGTACTACATGGCTGCGGGAAAAATTAAATTATACCATTTTCTTAATCAAGTGCGCCAGGTAGTGAATGAGGAGGATAAATGATCTCTCTTATACTTCTTCCTCTTCTTCTTATATGCTGTTCTTCTTCTACTTCTTCTTGTTCTCCTTACTTCTTCCTCTAAGTTTTTATGTATATTTTCCTAAGCGTATATGTACTATTGTCATCATCAACACTACAATGATCACCATCTTTTTGCTCCTGCTTTCAACACTATTATTACAACACGGTACAACATCTCATTATCTAGCGCCGCTGTGCCTCATTTGCTCTTTATTCCTGTCTCTCTATCTTTCTCTTTTCTTTCTCTCTTTCTCTCTCTCTCCCTCCCTCTCTCTCTTTTCATTCCCCACTCTCTCTCTCCCTCTCCTTAGCTCTCTCTCGTTTCTCTCTCCCCCCTTCCCCCCTCTTTCTCTCACTCTTCTTTTCTCTTCTTCTTCTCTCCCTCTCCCTCCCTCTCTCTCTCTCTCTTCTCTCTCTCTCTCTCTCTCTCTCTCTCTCTCTCTCTCTCTCTCTCTCTCTCCTCTCTCTCTCTCTCTCTCCCTCTCCTCCTCTCTCTCTCCTCCCTCCCTCCCTCCCTCTCTCTCCCTCCCCTCCCTCCTCCCTCCCTCCCTCCCTCCCTCCCTCCCTCCTCCCCTCCCCTCTTCCTCCCTTCGTCTTACCTCATTACCAGATGATTGTCTACTAGTCCAGGAATGTAGATTTAGATGCATAATTTTGTGAAGAATTTGTCGGTTTTGTGTTTTTTTTTCCGTCTTCATTTTTTTTTCCTTGTTCTTTTCCGCTGTAGTGAAAGACGTGTGTAATTAGGTTAACTTCCGTTACTTTATATATCTTATTTTTATTTTTCTGTTCTTTGAGGACGGGGGGGGGGGTGGAAGTGGTGTGTGTGTGTGTGTGTGTTGTGTGTGTGTGTGTGTGTGTGTGTGTGTGTGTGTGTGTGTGTGTGTGTGTGTGTGTGTGTGTGTGTGTGTGTGTGTGATTTGTTTATCTGTGATGATATATAATCCCTCTATTTTTATGTATTTGGGATTATATTATGCATATTTTCGTCTAAGAGGCTACCGGCCTATATGATTTAAATTCCGCTTAATTTATAATAATTTATATCTAATTTTGAAGGTTTTCATATTTTTGTATCTATTCTTACCTGTTTACTAATTATTCATTCTATTTATGGTTGTCTGTTTATATTTTCTTAGAAGAAGGATGTGCAACCACATGAAAATGTTGATATATTTATTCATTTATTCATTTCTTTTATAAAATGAAGGGAGAGGTATACTAGCTATTTAATTTTTCTATTGTAAATTTATACTGTGAATGTATGATAACATGTTTCAGTGAATGTTACGACATAAGTATATATAACTAACCAGGCAAATAAAAAGATGAGTAAAGACACCAATTTGTTCACCAACAGACACAAATACGAATTTGGACACACTCACTCACACTCATACTGACACTCGCACACACGTACATAATCACACACTCACACAATCATACTCACATACGCAATCACGCACGCATTCACTCTTACACAGGCGTACACACACACACGCACACACAACCTCTCATTTACTTACTTACACACGCAGACACACAAAGACAGACACGTACATACACAAAGTACTTACATACACACACGCACACACACAAATCAGTGACGAATTACCCACGACAGCAAGAACAGGGTTTTAGGTTACCCTCAACCTAGCCCACCCCTCGCCATGCCCCCCTCCCCCATACCCTTGCCTATCTACCCTAATACCCACCCCTACTGCCCCCATACCCACTCCTTCTACCCCTATTACCCGTCCCCTCCTACCCCATACCCTCTCCCTCCTACTCCCATACCCCCCCTCTTGTCCTTCTCCTCCTACCTTTCCCCTCTTGTACCCCCATACCCATCCTTTCTACCCTTCCCCTCCTGTGGCCCCATACCCACCATCCTACCCTTCCTCCTCTTGTACCCTCGTACCCCCGCCCCCCACACACATAATCTGACACAGACACACCCTATACTCTAAGACCCCCCTCTCTCTCTCCTACCTCCCTCCTTTTCTCTACTCCTTTTCGATATTCCCCCCCTCCCCCCTTCTCATCCCTACATCTCCCCTTCCTCCTACTTCCCTACATCTCATCCCCTCCTTTTCCTTACCCCTTCCCTCCCCCCTCTTTTCCCTACTTCTCTTTCCCTCCCTCTTTTCACTACACCTCCCCCTCCCCTCTTTTCTCTACTCTTCATCCCCTCCATTTTCCCTACTCCTCCTCCCCCTCCACCCCTCTTCCCTACTTCTCCCCCTCCCTCCCTTTTCCCTACTCCCCCCCCCCCTTTCCACACATGTTTAAGGCACGTGTTCGCAACACATTCTTCGCAATTTATAATGTTGATAACATCTTCGCAGACTATACCTGGGACATCATACAGATAATTTGGGCTGTCCTTCCACATCTGTCTTTATCTCTCTTTGTTTTGTCTCTTATTATCTCTCTTCCTCTGTTTAGCTGTCTTTATCATTCTCTTTGTCTTTATGTGTGTCTTTCTCACCCTCTTTCTCGATCGCTCTCTCTCTTTCTTATTCACCATCTTCCCTTCTCTTTCTTTCCTATCTTCTGTTCTTTCTCCTTCCCCCCCCCCTCCTCTCCTCTCCTTGTTACGCCACATTTCGCCACATGTATAATGGGGAATGGAGGACGAGACGGAATGGGGAAGAAGGGAGGAGGGGGGAGGGGGAGGGGGGCGTGTTAGGGTTAGAGAAGTGAGGGGAAAGGGTAAGGGGAGTTACGAAAAAATGAAGAGAAAAAGAGAAACGAGGATAGGGAAGAGGTGTAAGAGAGAGGAAAAAGGGGAGAAACGAGAGAATGGAAGACAAATGTACATTGAGGAACACGGAGGAAGATTGAGAATAAAAAATAGATGTGGATAAAAAGAACAACGAAGAAGCAGAAAATAAAAAAAGACAGACAAAACACAGTCACATGTATAAATATATATATATAAGACTGATGACCTGTCGTTAACCTTGTAAGTAGTGATGCATTGCTGTGAAATGTTGTGATGGAAGAGCCTTTGTTATGGTTGTTATTCCGTGTTCAAGTAGTTTCGTAATTATGTCTTAATTAGCTGTTCATTGTTGTAAGTTGTGTTCATGGTTTCTCTTCTATTTTTTGTATTTCGTTGTTATTTTATCTTCATCGTCATCGTTACCGTTATGATCATTCGAAAAAAAAAATTATACTATTTTATTTACTATTGTTATTTTTTTGTCATTTTCGTTATTTTCATCTTCGTTGCTGATAATAGGATTATAATTATTGTACTGTCATTAACAATAATACTTGCAGGAATTAATTTTTGATAATCTTTATTATCATTATTTTCTTGCTATTATCAAATTTAGTTTTTAAAACAATATAATTTTCATTTATATTTTATTTTTTTTGTAAATGCTGTTCTAAAATATTCTTGCTGTTATCAATGTCGTTATTAACAGCTATTATTACAGTCATCATTATCATCATTCATAGTTATGATTACCGCTATTAATATCATTGCAACTGTTAATAATATTGCACATTAATAACATCATTAGTAGCAACAACAGTGTTAATAATGGTATCATTATCATTTCCTATCATATTATCAATATCTTTGTTATTATACCAATTCTTCTTCTGTTATTATCATCACCATTATCATTATTATATTAATTAACTCATTAACATCATATTTGCTATATTTATTACCGGTATTATTGTTACTACTAACTTTATTTCTCACACTTCTATCACTCCTTTTTTACTGTAAAGACGAAAATACATAGTAAAAGATACAACGTTATTATTTGAACTTCTCCTGAAATATATTATAATTCATGTATATTATAAAGAATACTCTAAAAGAAGTATGATAATAATTGCATAAAATCCGACGCCAAATATAATTACCTCAAAAACATACTCGTTCTTAACAAGGACTCCCAAAAACTAAAAAAAACATCTATAACAATAATTTCCCCGGCGGTTCTCTTGCACGCACCAAAAACTAAAAAAACATCTATAACAAACATTTCCCCGACGGTTCTCTTGCACGCAAAATGTAAAATATCATTTACTCCCGTGAACTTTCGAGTGACGTAACCCTTTCCTTAGCTGCAGTTTCCACGTCCGCTCATAGATGGCAGCACCCCTTGGCTTGGCGGGGGGACTTTGATAAACTTGCTTGAGGAAATATTTTTGGATCGAGTTAAAAGTTACTGGGAGGGGGGGAGGGAGGGGGTTTCTTCCTGAGTTTCTTGACGGTTAGAATAGGGCGGAGAGAGAGAGAGAGAGAGAGAGAGAGAGAGAGAGAGAGAGAGAGAGAGAGAGAGAAGAGAGACGAGAGAGAGAGAGAAGAGAGAGAGA